CTGTTGATCATCTAGGAAAAATTCATTTCTCAAGGCCTTCACACTGCCGAGACGCGAGAATAAGAAACTTGATAAGTTATGTCATGCCTACCCTCGACTATGAGATCAAGAATAATGACTTCTTTAAGCATTTGGGTTGGAATAAAAGTCCCGGCATTGATCTGGTCCTTCAACAACTTCGGATATGCTCACAAACGGAAATCCTCGATGTCTTTGATATTTGCAAGTCAATCTACAAACACATGCAGATGATTGTGAACTCGCATGAACATGAGACTGAAAGTTTGAGAAGATACACGCAGCACGAAAAATGGATCTTGGTTAATGGAAAATTTTATTCGTCCGGAAACGTGGTCTTCGACCTTCCCCGAGACTTTGGAAATGAAAACACGCTAATAGTAGGACTTCCAAACGAGTATAAGGTTAATTATGGAAAATTGTTTGAGAAGATGGGAGTCCGTTTGAAAATTGGGATTCAAGATTATGTCGACATCATTAAAATGTATGTCAAGGATGATCCCAACGTGGAGCTGCCAGCCGACGAGATAAGCAAAGTGATAGAATTGATTGATCAGGTTTCGAGGGAGATCGTTGGAGAAGAAAGTCCTATGGATTTATTGCACGGATTACTCGTACCAACCGCACGAGGAGTTCTCGTGAGTTTAGGCGAAATTCAGTATGACAATATGGGTTCGAGGTTAAGTGACGAAGAGAAAGACGGATATTCCATTGCGCATCCTTCCATATCGCTAAGTATGGCGAAAAGTATTGGAATGCAGATGTTATCCGGGAAGTTCATAGAAGAGGGTGAGTGATGGCTTGTTTTGTTTATTGCAGTAACAATATTGACGCGAATGATGGAACTGAAATTGATTAACTGGGTTTATGCATTTAGTAAATGACGATTTTATGCCGGAATTCTATGAACAAAATGAGTCCCTGACTACTCGGATTCGGAGCATCATCAATGTATGTACAGTGCATGCACACATTCGCGTCGTTGCGCGTGCGCAGAGTCTAAATTGCACTATTTTCATCGTTAGGATTATTTGCCGGGCTCGGTATTCAAGGAATTTCTGCAGGTAATCGGTGTTGATGTTTTTTTTTTTTTTTAAAAAAAAAAAAGAAAATTATCAACCAACCCCATTGTCTTCTCCCCCATATACTGTACATCATATAGAATGCTGATGATGCTGGCGCTCGTATTTTTCGAGTATACATTGACGAAAGAAATTTCTCGAAAAATTGTTCGAATCAACCTAGTTCTCTTTTGACCGAAGAAATGCGATTTTGGCAAGGTCCCGCTGTGTGGATATATAATGATGCAGAGTTTAGCGATAAAGACTTCAAATCATTGCTTAGACTTGGAGTTGCAGACAAATTGCCCGATACCACGAAAATTGGTCGATTCGGAATTGGATTCAATTCGGTGTTTAACCTTACCGACATTCCGAGCTTCGTGAGTGGTGAATATATAGCATTTTTAGATCCGCATGCCAAACATCTTCCCGAGTTAGGTAGTCCACGGAGAAGACCACTCGGCAATCGGTATAATTTCGTTAAAACAAATTTCAGCGAGAGATGGCATGATCAGGCCGCTCCGTACATATCCATGGAGGGGTGCGATTTAAAGTCGAAATATAACGGAACATTGTTTAGAATTCCGCTTAGAAATCACAAAACTGCCGAGATGAGCGAGATATCTGATAAATTATTGAAGCCCAGTGATCTCCTAGATCTATTTAGAGACATTCAAGGAAACAGAGAGATGCTGTTTTTAAGAAACGTAGAAGAGTGCGGCGTGTACTATATACGTAACTTAAATCCAGATTTAATCTGGAAAGCCAAGATCGATAATATGAGCGAGGATGTGAGGAGGAGGCGCCAATTATTAACCCAAGAAGCAAAAATATTTCAGCTCGAAATTGGAATGCAACGAGGTGAACATCGAAGTCTCGAGCATTGGCTTTTATGTTGCGTTCAGAATGAGAAGGCGAAAGAAGATTTAAAAAGTTTTTCGCACGAGAAAAAAGTAGTCGTACGTAAATTGGTTGTTTTTAAAAATTATAAACTGCGTTGTTTGTTTGCTACCTTTATCTTACTTATTACCTATGTCTGCTTCTGCATCTCGTTTTTTATTGCGATAGCCTAGAGGCGGCGTTGCTGCAATGGTATCGTGGCCAGGTGAAAATGAGAAGGTATCTCTCTTTGCACTCTTTCATTTTTTTAATTTTTGGGAATCAAAATTTACCATGAAAGAAGATATTCACATCACGCCCATCTTTCCAGAATTACCTGAGAGGTGAAATGTACTCCTACGTGTCCCTTTCAATAAGCAATAACTTGAGTGTAATGTTAAACGGCGATTTTCTTTTGTCGAGTGATCGAAGGAGTATTTTAGTAACCGAAAATGAGTCCTTAGAAGACAAAAGCAGGGAAATAAAGTGGAATAGATATATATTGTCCGATATTCTACCACCGCTGCATGCCATGTTACTCAACGAGATTGCGATCCGCGATTCGAAACGGCTCCAGGATATGCGGCGACGTAATAATCCAGGTGAAAAGTTTACCCCCCACATAACGACAAGAGATTGGCCAATAGTCGTTAGACCGGGTTTCATCACGTCGGGGATCTACCGAAAATTTGGACTGACTGTACTTCAAAGGGTTATTCAGTCTAATTATCCCATATTTTGGACCGAAGCAAACGGTGGAGAGTTTATATCATTTAGGGAGGCAATTTTTGCAGAATCTGAAAAGGAATCGATTATATCTAGTGTCCTTGTACATAAAAATGTACGAATAGTCAAGTTATCCGGAGAGCAGTATAAACATATTAAAGAACTTTCGAAATCTAAAAAGGAACCCAGATATCAAAACTTTATTACTCCCGAGTTAGTATGCAAAACACTTGAAAATAACAAGGACATATGGACTACGTATAAGGCACCTGATGGCAAACGAACTATAAAGGAGGTTATTATTTGTTTGTTGAAATTCGTTCTTGAAAATGCGGAACAACAACAGGATGCCAAGAACTATAAAAGGCTACTAGGGTTACCTCTGGTTCCGCTTTATGATGAAACTGTCGGAGTTTTTGGGGAAAAAGAGTATTATATCGCGAAGAAAGAAATTAGGAAATTATTTCGTAAAACCGGATCATCCCACTTTGTGAGGAAGAGCGAGTTACCAATCGATTTTGCAAAGAAGGAAATTTCGGATTTACTGAAAGTCTCGGAACTTGATACAAGAAGTATCCTTAAACTCTTAGACTTGGAACTGCCCCGGGAAGAAAAAATGGAATGGAATCCTTCGGGGCCTTCATTCCCAGATAAAAAATGGATCGAAGAAATTTTGGCGAAATTTAGCGAGTTTTCGGAGTTTGACTTTCAAAAATTTAATAAGTTCCCTCTTCTTCCGATGATTTTTCCACGAGAAATGCTCGTCCGATTCGATCAATCGAAGCCTTTATTGCTTCGTGGAAATTTCGATAATAGTATGGTCCGTGTTCTTTGTAAATTGGGCGTCAGGTTCACCGACTTAACATTACCTAGCATTGCACACCCAGCCCTCAAGGGTTGCATAATTCAACCGACTGAAGTGAATGTCTTCAAGTCGATTGAGCGAGCGAAATCGGTAGAACGAATCAAATCGTTGACTCCTATTGAAATTTTGAAGCTCCGGTCATTTGTTAATGATTTTTTGTCAAGTATGCATTCTGATTCTGTTATTATCTTATCATTTCTTCTACATGACTTGAATCTTACTTTTGGTTAAACAGGAACTGAAAGAAACGATCAAATTTTGAAAATCATCCGAAACTTTCCAATATGGCCCGTACACTTTTCCGAAGGTTTCTTTGCGGCTGACCAAGGATATCTCCTCGAACAAGGTTTCCCGATTTACTCGATCCAGGACGTGAAAATTTTCCGCACTGATTGGGAGGCAGATTATAATTCGTTGTTCAGCCTTAGAGCAAATGAGCTGGGCGCAATGGAATACATCCATCGTTATTATGCCACGAATTCATACCGTACTGACACCAATTATGTGGAATTCTTGAAGGATCTTTTATTGAAAAAGAATAGTAACATAGAAAATTATCTAAGTCTAATCGAAGTTATTCCAAACAAAAACAGCACGGAATTTGTAAAAGCCAACACACTGTACGATGCAAATGTGCCTTTATTTCGTGATATATTCGATGATGATAAATTTTTACCAATAGAGTTTCAAAATAATTCGAATGTTTTGAATGCTCTGGGAAGGATAGGGTTAAAACGACGTGTTGACTCTCGCACATTTATTGATTGCGCCCGTGAAATAGAAAGAAAGGCTCGCGAATCTCCAGACGGAGTAATAGAAGTTATTAAACGATTAGGCAGAACGTTGATGGTGGAACTGTTCACAAATTACGAAGCACTTTCATTTAATCCATTGCAGTGGAGGGTTCTCACGTCCATCAAATTTGTTCCTACCGATGCAAATCTTTCGGGACTCTTTGAGATACATACTGATGCAATATCCTCTTTAGACTCCGTATGCCTTTTCAAATATAAGGATTTGATATGGACGCAAGTACCATTACTCGATAGAATACTCGATCCACCAAGGAGATTACTAATTGCTCGTCCCAATTTATGTGAGCCTAGATTAGATGATATTATTAATCACTGGTATGAGGTTGCGTTAGAAATTTCCCCCCAAAAAAGCGTCAAATGGAGATCAAACGATGGGCAAAGGCAATTTCGGGAAATGATGAAAGAAATATACGAATATTTGAATTCGCAAATATGCAATGCAAATGAGGCATACATTGGTTCGAGGATACGAACGGACGCAAAATTATTTTTGAATGACGACAATCCTTTTGAACCTGAAAGTTGGGTGGCGGGGATTAACTTAGTCTACGGTGTCTCCGAAGATGTCGGCGGGGGTCAGCGCAAGGTCTCTCCATTTTTGGAAAAATACAAATCGTTACTAAAATTGGCGGGAGCCGGAGAATTAAAGGATGTTCATAACGATGTAGTAGTGCGAAAACACGACCAGATAATTTATTTGTCGGATCAATTGCGTGAGCTTCTTAAAGGACAAGAAAATACCCTGCACCACGATGTTGAATTCCGTTTCTCGAATAGAGGTGATGATAAAAGAGTTTACGCGAATCGTTATGTTCTCTCAGGTGCATATTTCATTTATCCTACGTGCAAATGCTAAAAACATAATATTAATCACGCGCTTGCCAAACATGATAGCTGCCTGTGAACATTTTCGAACTGAATTCAGCGGCTACATGAGGGAATCCATCGAAGGTCAACGGGTAAGCGTGGAAATCGAAGACAGCAATCCCGCTGCATTCCAAGCCCTTGTTTATTGGCTCTATGGTCAATCCTTTGAAAAGGCGTCCGAAGCGTTGCCCCAGGACCCTTCGGATTACTTAAACTCTCTGATTGATCTACTCAATGTTTCAAACTTATATCGGATCGACCCACTTAAAGATATTTTAGAAAAAACGATAGCAAATAAATGTGATGTAAATAATGTAATAGAAATTCTCAAGTGGGCAGAACTTTATAATGCGGGACAATTGAAGAGTCACTGTCGGAAATACATTATAGAGAATGAGAGGGTAATATTGTCGAAAAGAACGTCTGACATCAATAATATTGAGGATGAAGAAGAGAGAGAAGAGGAGAGTGAGATGATAGAAGCGATAATAGACGAAATTGAGACACCCGATAATTAAAAACAACGCACGAGTGTATGGTCACTTTGCGTTTTTAATTATGCAGTGCATAAGTAATTTTTTTCTATTAATTTATTAAAGTTATATATTTAAATTGTAACAATACTAATCAAATGATATTTAATCATAACCTATATACTGTATGTACTGTATATACTGTATATGGTTCCTCTAATACAGTAAATGCGTATTTGAATCATTTATTTTATTAATAAAATCGAATTTTACCTGTGAGAGAATTTTGAACTGTCATCTAATTTTTTTTTTTTTTTTTTTTTTTTTTTTTTTTTTTTTTTTTTTTTTTTTTTTTTTTTTTTTTTTTTTTTTTT